AGCACAATTAAGCATTCAGGAATACTCATACTTCACAATGTTGTCCATAGCTTGTCATGATCCACACAATCGAAAGCCTTTGCGTAGCCAATAGAGCACAGGTAAACATTTTTCTGATATTCTCTCCTTTCAGCCAAGATCCATCGGACATCAGTCATGATATTCCTCATTCCACGGCCTCTTCTGAATCCAGCTTGAACCTCTGGGAGTTCTCTGTCAATCTGTGCTTGTAGCCGTTTCTGTATTACTTTTAGTAAAACTTTACTCACGTGGGATATCAAAGATATCTCCTTAGGTAGGGCATTTTTCACTGTTGTTGCTTTTGTTGTTATGTGTTGTTAAGTCAGTTCCAACTCATAGCCAGCTTGTATAGAATTTCCCAGAAACTGCTGGTAAATTTGAACCGCTGACCTTTTGGTTCAAACCGACCTTACAGTCCAGTGCTTATCCTACAGTGCCACACCAGGACTCCTTGTTCAATGTTAGTTTCCATAAAATGAGAAAATGTTGAAATTCTAAGGTGTGGTAGGTTACAATAAAGGAACCCGCAAATATGTCCTCACCTCAAACCTTGTAACTCATGAATGTTACACTAAAAAAGGAACTTTACAGATGTAATTACAGATAAGGGACTTTTGTTCTTGTTAAGTGCTATTAAGTAGGTTCCAAATCATAGCAGCCCTATGCATAAACCGAATAAAGTACTGCTCAGTTCTGCACCATCCTCACAATAGTTGTCATGTTTCAGCCTATTGTTGCTGCCACTGTGTCAATTCATCTTGTTGGGGGTCCTTATCTTTTTCATTGACCCTCTAATTTTCCAAGCATGCTGTCCTTCTCCAGGAAATGGTTCCTCTTGACAACATGTCCAAAGTACGAAAGATGAAGTTTCATCATCGTCACTTCTAAGATACATTCTGGTTGTACTTCTTCTAAGACTGATTTGTTCTTCTGGCAGTCGATGGTACTTACAATACTCTTCGTCAACACCATAATTCAAATGAATCCATTCTTCTAAAGTCTTCCTTATTCGTTGTTCAACTTTCACATGCATAGGAATTGATTAAGAATACCATGGCTTGGATCAGGTGCACCTTCTTCCTCAAGCTGAAATCTTTGGATCAGGTGCACCTTCTTCCTCAAGCTGAAATCTTTGATCTTTAATACTTTTCTTTTTTTTCTTCTTCACATAAGCAAGGGCAGACAGTGGGGTTCTTGGAGCAATAACAACACACATCTCATTTGAGTGCACAAACTTAGAGGTTTAAATGGTGGTGGTAGTTGTGTGCCGCCAAGTCAATTCCAACTCATAGAGACCTTGTTGTAGGGTTTCCTAGGTTTTAAATTTTTAACGGAGCTTAAAGACTCATCTTTCTTTGACGGAGCTTAGATTTGAACTACTGACTTTGCAGTTAGCAGCCCAGCTCATAATCCACTATGCTACAGTAATTTAATAAACTAGTATATATTCATAGAGATTCAAAGGAAAGGTGGAATCTTCTTGGGATTAGACCATAAAGATGTGGTTTAAGATAATCAGGTGTGTGTGTAAATTCTTTGAAAGATGGCTTCCTATGCAAGATGGACGCCCATCTGGGATGCTAAGCTGTACTTATTATGGGATGGATCCTACAGCATTCCTATATAATGGTCATAGTCATTGGTTCTGTGCATGTCCTGTGTTGGGTGGGTCCAAGGTTGTTCTGACTGCAAGAGTTTCTGAAAGACAACTTTAAGGAAGTTTCAAAGGGATGACAATAGACATGATCATTTTGCTCTAGGATGTGGGCAAGTAGTTTGGTCAGACACAAAGATTCCTTATATGGGGAAGTCCCTGCATCTAGTTTAGTTTTATATTTAACTGGGTTTTAGCAGACCCGCTGGGTATGCTGTTTTCATGCTGGAGTCCTTATTGTAATTAACCTCTTTTTCCAATTGCTTTTGACTGTGTGGCTCATGACAAGCTATGGCTAACATTGTGAAGAACGGGTCTTCCAGAACACTTA